TTTTTTTTTTTTTTTTTTTTTTGCACTACGGTTTTTATGAAGGTGACCACCTTATAACTCCGCATAAAAACATCACACAATAATATGCAATATGTGTCACTAGCTTATGCCCTTTCTCAACATTTACTGTCCCAGACGCTCTTTTCACAGTCGATCCAACATTGGGAAACGAACCATGTGCTAGCTATCGCTCTAGATCATTTATGAGAAGGCAGCTCTTTTTGACAAAAAAAATAAAAAATACTAAAAATAAATATGTTCCTCAGTATAGTAAGAACACGCAGCCAGTCTATGACAGTCAACATCGCTCAAGTTTTCAGAAGAATCAGAACTTCAATTAAGAATCTAATGGTGAAGAGAATGCAAGATGCAATAGCATGCCTAATGCAATATACCCTATATGCTTAAAAGCAATGCGATAAATATATATACTAATATACAATATAATATAATATAATGACATGCAAGCAATCAGAGAATGCATATCCCTAAGGATTTCCTTAGAGAAATAAATCTTTGAGCATCAAGGTTATGTGCTGGAACATATTTATGAACAATTAAACCATCATCAACCAAATTTCTAGTAGAGTGGCAACGCATGCTAGTACGCTTAAGAGAATGTTGAACAGAATATTTGAAAATATTAGCCGCACAAGTATGGTCATAGAAAAGGTCAATGGCTTGTACCTCAGGTCCAAATTTAAGAAAAATGTGCTTCATCCACACCTTTTCTGAAGAACAAGTTCCAGCCACAAGGTTCTGATCGGTGTAAGAATATCCGTCAGACGTACTCCATTGATCAACGTCATTCACAGCTCTATCAGCATCACATTCTCTAACAATACCAGAACTCGTATCACATGAGTCAAAAGTCATATAATCAATCAAATAGCAATTATCATGCGATCTAGACCCTGTAAGAACACGATTATTAATCCTATCAGAAACCAAGCATTCTTTCAAAGTGAAACTTACAGAGAAGCCTTGATCACATAACTGACTCACACTCAGCAAATTGACATTCAAGTTCTCAACCAACAAAACATTATCAAGTTTAGGAAGACCAGGCATGTTCAAACATCCAATTCCTACTACCTTATTACTAACACCATTACCAAAAGTGACAGAATCAGAACCATTAGACACAGGTATAACATCAATCAAATTCGATTTAACACCTGTCATGTGCCTAGAACATCCACTATCAAAATACCAATCACGATTAGAAGTGGATTTTGCAGTAAACAAAGATGAAAGACAAGTATGATTCTTTTTGGGAACCTAAATTTTCTGTTGCTTATGGTTCTTTACATCAACCTTCAGTTTTGGTGTTTTCATTGGAACACCAGCGGGGTTCCATCATTTATTCTTCCTGCATGCAAATCATTAAGCATCCTATAGCATCTAGGATGAATATGACCAAGAACACCACAATAATGACAAGTAGGAATGAAATTCTTCACAAAACGTTTACGGTGTTCTTTCACAGAAACCTGATTAACCTTACCATCAGAGTTGGAACCTTCTTTCACAAAAGTTAGAGAGGACTTATTCAGAGACGTGCTTGGTTCACCCACTTTACCTTTCAGTTTCTGATTGGAGGAGTTCTTACTCTGGTCTGAACACGCAATCTGATGACTCAATCTTTGAACTTCAGCAAATGAGGACTTTGGCTTATTGATCATTTTAACAATCTCCTCACTCTTGCTGAGCTTTTGTTCCAAGGTTGAAAAATGGCTTCGAAGAGTCACATGTTCTTCTATCACACGACCGAGTTCTTGTTTGAGGGCCGCAATCTCAGAATCCCTTTCACCTATAGTTTTCTGCAAGGAAAACATTTCATTACGTAGAGACTCAATGACAAAATTGTTTTCATCACATACCTGCTTGGACAACTTCTTCTCGTGTTCGAACATCGTGATTTTGGCAACAAATTCATCCAGCTTATGTTCCTCATTGCTGGTACGAACATCAGATCTGGTCAGCTTATCATTCAATTCGCCATTTATCACGCGAGTTTTCTGAAGTTCATCCTTCAAGTAGGCGATCTCCTTCTCATGCTCTGCAGAACGATGTTCCAACAGCTTCATTCTTCCCTTTTGAGCTTGGTACTTCTTGATGATTTCTACAGCTTTGAGACACTTCTCTATGGCATATTTGTGGAGTTCTAGGTTCTCCTCAGCAGGATCAGAGAACTCCTCAGATTCAGCATCGCTTAGGTTCTTTGCGTAAGAACCTGCATCAGATTCATCATCAGTAAGATGCACAGAGGATGTAAAACAGTTATATTCACTAAGAATACATTTAACAAAGTTATTAGAATAGTGAGAATTTTCAGTCTTCTCAAATTCTTCATTCTCCTCATCACTGCAATCGAACCACGTTGCCTTATAGACATTGTTCTTTCTCTTGAAGTTTGGACATTCCTTCTGAAAGTGACCAAACCCTTTGCATTCCCGACACTGATCTTTTTCAACTCCTTGGTCGATGTTCTGAACCTTGTACTGTTGTACGCTGGAACCTCGCTCACCAAGTTGCTGAAACGTGTTCTTACCACCTTCAGAGGGCTTGTTTCCTTGAAACCTTATCTTCTGTAATTTCTTCAGCTTCGAGGCATTTTTAGTAAGAAAGATAAGGGCCTTCATGATCTCATCAGCATCAAAGGATTCTTCATCTGATTCTTCATCTTCAGCAACTGCAGTACGAACCTTGGCTTTCAACGCTAAGCCTTTCCCTTTGCTTATTCTTATCGAGTCAAATCCATGGTTGATTTCAAAGGTACGCAATTCACCGAGAAGGTCATCAATGCCCAGCTTTTGAATTCTCTGAAAACTCTCCAAAGCTGTGATTTTAATTCCAAATCTATCCGGTAGTGTTCTCATTAACTTCTGCACTTGTCTTGCTTCTGGAACCGGTTCACCAAGCATTGCGCTTTGGTTTACTAGATCGCAGAAACGGGCATAATACATGTCAATGGTTTCATCCTCCCTCATACGGATCTCATCAAGTTCAGTTGAGACTCTTTGGAGCTTTGATGTTTTAACTGCATTCGTGCCTTCGAATTGTCTCTCTAAGATCCTCCAAGCTTCTTGAGCAGTCGTGCACTGGATTATTATCTTGTGCCGGGTGGGATCTACTGCAGACATAATGGCATATAAGGCTCGAAAGTTAGCCTCTTCTGCTTGCCTTTCATCGTCGGTCCAGATGCTCCTTGGTTTGTCAACCAATACTTTGGTGGTTGATGACTTCCCATCCGATGACTCACCACTCTTAGTTTCAGCAGGAACTTTTTCTTGAAGTGGTAAAGTCCAACCATTTTCCACCGCCTGCCATGTTCCTTTACCAAGGGATCGAAGGAAGATCACCATCATGGATTTCCAGTACGAGTAGTTAGAACCATCAAGAAAAGGAGGGCGCGTAACAGACATCCCATCATGACTCATGGTGCCCGATACACAGTCCCAAAGATCTTTATCCCGTAGTTAGAACAGGAACACTGCTCTGGTGCCAATTGAAACGTATAATTACTTGCGAGTGCGCGAAATGTAGTACGAACGTGGATAAACAACATAAATAGCGGAAGCAATAAATCGAAGATTTTAAAACTCTTCAGGGAAGCGTCCAACTTTCCCTCAGAGCTCTTTCATTGATAAACCATTCAAACTTGTATAGTTTGGACTTACACGACTCGAACTCCCTTCTAGTCTAGCCACAACTACACACGATCCTATCAACTACTTCTCCGGCCACGTCCCGTGGACTTTACACACTCGAATCCCTCGAGCAAAACTCAGTACTTAATCCCTAAGCACTAAAACAAAGTGTTTGTAAAAGAGAAGAAACAAAACGAGTTCAGTTCTTCAGCACTGTAAGAACGCTGAAAAACTGGACCGAATAAAATAAAAATAATAGAAACTCTCAAACACTCAATTGAAGCTGATGAATGATGAACTTAATTTGCAGCAGCTCTCTTATCTTCAATTGATTGCTTGAGTAGGCTTATATACAACCTCCTTAAGGTAAGGAGTTTTCACCGTTCTTCCTTTACCTTTTAGGAGTCAATTTCCTTCTCAATTGATTCCTTTTTGATTTGGACGAAATCCTTCATGTAAGGTAAGTTTCCTTGATGTAGAAATCGTGCATGTGATTTGGAGATCTTCAGAATTGAGCTTCCAATGGAAAAACGCGTTCCAAGAATCTGGTAAGAACATGACTTTCCAAAAATAGCCGATCTTCCAAATCTTCAAATATCTTGTGGTGAATCTTTCCAAATCCTCCTTAGATCTTCTCATGAACGTCCAGAACTCTTCTTGTATGGAAAGCTCATCCTTTCATAGTCCTTGCCACCTATTCCTTGTCCTACAAGCAAAAGAGAACTAATTATGGCATGTGGCATACATGATAAGTAAATATATAGGATATATATTATGTAATCCTTCTCCTAAAGGATTAGGATTCCATAATACATACTACAATAAATATATACCATATATTATTAATAATAAATATTAGGAACTTAGTTAAATCATAAGTAAATAAATAGAAAAACTTTCCTTTAATTTATTTTGCTTGCTTAACAAGAAATCTTCTAGAAAACACTTAGGTTTGTCGGACATGATGCCAAACCAATGTTCTAACAGTGTTGATAATGAACTAATGAATTGTCTATTGAGAGAAGAAAGCCGTGGTGAGATTTGAGGAAATGGTTAGTGTCCATGGGCTTTGACATTTATCATTTTTTTTTT